CTAATTAGAGAATTAAAACTCATGTAGCACTTCTTAGGAAAGTGCTACAAGCATCAAAACAGAAGCCCTCTCAAAATTCTCTTTATGTCAGGCAGGGTCAGTTATAGCCTGTCTGACGGGGGGAGAAGAGGACCTAACAATTTCTACAAACTGTACAATCCAAAAATTTTTTAATGGCAGCAGGTAGTCTTCCAATAGCTAAATTATAGGCTAAAGGGTAATTGTCACTTAAAACTATAAATTGTAAATTAAACTGTTGTACAACTCATCAATATATTTAAACCACTGATGGTATGTGAACTATATATATCAATAAACAATGTTCTTTAAAATAAGCAAGCAATAATAATTGAACTATGATTTCCGAGCCGAGCCTCAGCCTCATACCTGAAGCAACCACTAAACTTTGCCTGAAGATTCACCTTCCATACCTTTACACTTCCAGTGCCCTCTGCCAGATGGGCGACTTCCTACAATATTCTGTGACACCACAACATACTGTGACTGACTGGAATAAATGTCTCCACTGGACCCCAGGTGCCCCCAAACCTGGCACGTTCCTTTCTAATTCCTCTGCCACAACCTGAGTAACTTTGTGTGCTCAAACAGGGTGCACTGAATGAACAAATAAGTCCTACCTGCCTACCGGAGCTCCTCAACGGAAGGCTATCAGGAGAATGATCCACAGCTGCCCTTTTCTTGGACCGGCCCCTTGAGCTTGCCATTGTATCAGATGACCTGCCAAAAAACAAGACAAAACACAGAAAAGCAACAACAATAAGCTATCAAATATAGCTAGCATCTGCTAAGACTTTTACTGGCATCTTTGAGTCCCTCCGGTTGGAAGGCACTTAAAATATAACTGGGGAAGAACTGCCTCCTCAAAGTACAGTTAACCTTCCTGATGTGCATGGAGTAAAGCTTCTGAGACCTTCCCTTGTTGATGGGCGCGAGCGAGAATGAGCAGGAACTAGTCGTCGGACGGTAGAACATACAAAGGAGGAATCCAGGAAAACTGGAAATCATCAGCAATGAAATGGAACACAGAAAGATCAATGTTGGGCATTAGAGCTGAGATGAATTCAAAATTGAATTTTTGAATCAGATAATCATACGGTGTTTTCTGCCAGGAAGGACAAGTTGAAAACGATGGTGGCGCACTCATTGTCAAAAAGAACATCTCACGGCCTATCTTGAAGTATCTTCCTGTCTGATAGGATGCTACCCATAAGCCTGCAAGGAATGCCAGTTACTACTACTATGTATATATACACGCGCCACCTACTAAAGCTGAATAAACTGAAGAATACTATCAACTTATGCAGTCTGAAGTGGATCAAACATGGATTCACGATTCACTGATACTTACTGGTGATTGAAATGCTAAAGTTGGAAACAAAACAGACTGGTAGTTGGAAAAAATGGCCTTGGTGATAGCAAGGATGTTGGAGATCACAAAAGGGAGTATGGCAATAACAATGACATATCTACTACAAAAACACTTTTCAACAACATACCGCATATACTCGTGTATAAGCTGAGTTTTTCAGCACCTTTTTAATGCAGTTTTTGTGGTAAAATTCGCTGCCTTGGCTTACACTCAAGTATATACAGTATACAAGCCCTCAACAGATGGAATACTCAACAATCTATTTCACTACATCTGTGGGGAGAGACTACGAACAAGTTCAGTGTGAGCAGCCAAGACAGGACTAGGGGCTGACTGTCTTAAAACAGACCATCAATTGCTCACATGCAAGTTCAGGTTGGAGAAGAAGAAAACTAAAACAAGTCCTTAAGAGCCAGGACATGGCCTTTGAGTACATCCCATTCGATTTGGAGAACAGATCTGTCATATTGAATCCTAGTGATGAGTTGTGTCAGACATCAAGAGCACTATATACAATGAAAGCAAAAAGCCATTAAAGAGATGGTTGGCAGGAGAATCTCTGAAGGTTACATGCATCAAAATAAATAAAATGCACACAGGCCATGCTTAACATTTCTCAAACTGAAGAAAAAATATGCAAGCCTAGAGTGGCCATATTGAAGAATTCTACTGGCGAAATGAGGAGCCCTGATTGGGCTGCTAGCTGCAAGGCCAGCAATTCGGAACCGCCCGCCACTCGGTAAGAGAGACAAGGCTTTCTACTCCCCTAAGAGTCAGTCTTAGAAACCCATCAGGGCAGTTCTATCTTGCCCTAAGGACCACTGTCAGAGGTTTTTTTTTTTTTTTTTGATGAGCAAAATAGTGAATGATGCAAGAAGCAGCAAAACATGGAAGCACCAGTCACTGTACCAAAAATAATCAATGTTCAACCATTTCAAGAGTTGGCATGTGATCAAGAACTTGAGGCTACCTTCCTATTTTCTTAGCTTTTTGTGCTGTCTTGGTTCTGGCAGGCATAGTTCTGTGGCAGTGAACGAGTGTTACTGGATTTTGTGCCCTTTCTAATACTTTTTTTTTAATACTCATTTTTTTAAACAGGATTCAGTCACTGAAGTTTTTAACATGTTTAAGTGAACATCCCAGGTAGTTCAATTGCTTCCCTACAAATAGATATTCCCCTTATCTCAATAGTATTTTAAATCCTATACCACTGGCTAGTTTTGACACACTTAGAATTAACAAAGGCCCCCATAGAGGTTACTTATAATCTCTCCCAAAGAGCTGATAACGCTGGCACTAATGTGGAATGGGGTTATATATAAGCTTGAGATATACGACTGAATTTTGAGCTCACACTTACCCATAAGCCCCAACCTAAGAACGTTAGTTTTTATGATACAGCCCTGTTTGATACTTACCCTCATAAACAGATGGTTGAAGATACAGGTGATACAGCCAAACGTGGCGACAGCAGTGATCCCTGGCTACCAGACAGAATAGGCTGGGGTTTTAAAAGCTTGTCTTAAAATGAGCAACTCTCTGAGGTGTCAGCTGAGCCCACACATGAGGAGCACACCAGACTATGTGATCCAAGGACTGCAGATAATAAAATCCAAGATCAGAGGGAGGAATTGTATTAAGAGCTCAAATTCTGGGCATCAAGTTTGCAGGACATGGAAAGGCCATGAAAACCCAAAATCCATTTGCAGCGTCCCCACTTGGATTAAGCTTCCACTGAACTCCAGTGGACCACTAGAGAGATGTGAATACCCTTCCCCTCAGACACAGTACAGTGCATTGGAAAGTGGATTAATGCAGACAATGTAGGTTTAAGTTTAACATCTTATCAGTTGTTTTCCCTTTCTTAAATCTAGTTTGTACTATTTTTGCGTTCTTTTGGATTGAGGTTTTTGTGTTTTGTTATCATTGTTGGGTTTTTGGGTTTCTTTTGGTATGATTTCTTATATATGAAATCATACATAGGTAAATGTACAGACAGTAACTAGATTAATAGATTCTTAGGGATATAGTAGGGGAAGTTGGGGGGAAATGGGGAACTAATAACAATGAGTACAAGGATGAAGAAAAGGTTCTAACACTGATTGTGGTGATAACTGTACAACTTTTAAAAATATATTTAAATCATTGAATTTTATGATACACGAATTGTATGTCAATAAAATGATTTAAAACAAAACAAAACAAAAAAACAGTAAAGAACCTATGCTACTGAAGGAAGAAGTCCAGGCTGCAATAAAGGCACTGGAGAAAAACAAGGCTCTAGGAATTGATAGAAAGCCAATTGAAATGTTTCAACAAGCTGATAAGAGCTGGAATAACTTATTAATCATGTGAAGAAATGTGGGAGGCAGCTACCTGGTCAACGAATTCGAAAAGATCTGTATTTGTGTCCAAAGAAAGGTGATTCGACATAAAGGGAAAATTATGCAATATCATATGTAAGTAAGATTTTGCTGAAGATAATTCAAAAATGGTTGTAGCAGTTCATCAACATGGAGCTGCCAGAAATCCAAGTTGGATTCAGAAGAGGACATGGAATGAGGGATAGCATGCTGACGGACAGATCTTGGCTGAAGGAGGGAATACCAGAAGGAGTTTACTTGTACTTTACTGACTATGCAAAGACAGTAGACTATGGATAACAGCAAACTATGGATACTATTTCAAAGAATAGAAATTCCAAGACACTTAACTAGTCTTAAAGGAAGCTCTGCCAACTCTTCCTCTGGCAGAGCAGATAGCAGGTTTGAACCACTGACCTTTTGATTGGCAGATAAGGGTTTAACCACTTCACCACCAGGGCGTCTTTAAATTCCACATGTGCTCTTAATCCTGAGAAAACACTGAGGATCTTGGAATTTTATCAGCTCAGATTTGTGAGTTGGACCACCCTTCAGAAGATTATTTTTCATAGATTAGCCATAAAAATTATACTCCATTTCCCATCATTTAGGAAAACTTTCCATTTGTTATTTACATTGACTTTAAGATATCTTGACGTGATTATCAATGATTCATAGTATCACTGATTCTCTTCACTTAGGAATATGTTAGCTGCGAGCAAATGCACCCTACATCTTCTGAAACTCCTGTAAATAAATCGCCATTTAGTTCACATAAAAACAAAGAAACACTGCTATTAAATTGATTCTGATTCATAAAGACCCTTCACAGGACTTTGGAGGCTATAAATCTTTACAGGAGCAGAGAGAGTTGTCTTTCTCACGCAGAGCGACAGATGGACTTGAACTACCAGCCTGGACATTAGCTGTCCAATGCCCACCCCAAAGCACCGTAGCATCCACAGTGCTGGCTAAGCATTAATGTTGTTAACAGCACTGTTGTCTATCCATCATTGTAACACCCAAAGGCTTTGCGAATCCCATTTTCAGTTCCCAAATGTAAAAGAAACCCTGTCCAATTTAACAAATCTGTTATGTAATACACACACATATATATATCTATATACAGTCCACATATTGCCTAAAATGAACCACTATTGTATAGTACACAAACTTACATATAACAGCAAAAATATTTGATAGCTTTATTTAATATAGTTCTGAAAATTTTAGCTACAGCCATCAAACATCAAAAAGAAATTAATGGAATCCAGATAGGAAACAGAAGAAATAAAAATCGATTTGCAGATGGCATAATCCTATATATAGAAAACAACAAAGATTCAATTAAACAATTCCTCAAACTAATTGAAAAACTTGGCAGCATAGCGGACTATAAGATCAACAAACAACAATCAGTTGAATTCTTGTATATTAAGGATGATAATGCCGAAAAAGCAACCAAAGAAATACTATTTACAGTAACTACAGAAAAAATAAAATATTTAGGAATAAATCTTACCAAAGAAGTAAAAGACTTACACAAAGACAACCACAAAATACTCCGTCAAGAAACTAAAAGGAAGTTACGCAAATGGAACAAGTTACCAAATTCCTGAATAGGCAGATTAAATATTGTGAAAATGTCAATATTACGCAAATTACTTCACAAATTCAATACAATCACTATTCAAATCCCACAATTTTTCAGAGAAATAGAAAAATTACCAATTTTATATGACGAGGAAAGAAACCTAGGATAAATAAAACACTATTTAAAAATTTAAAATAAAAGCCTTTCACTCCCAGACCTTAAAACCTACTAGAAGGATCTACATATAACCTCCTCCCTGGGGGATGGACAACAGAAAAGTGGGTGACGGGAGACGTCGGGCAGTATATGACAAAATAATAATTTATAAATTATCAAGGGCTCATGAGGGAGGGGGGAGCGGCGAAGGACGGGGGAGAGAAAAAAAAAAGAAAAATGAGGAGCCTTCCAGGAGCCCAAGCAGAAAGTGAGTGTTTTGAGAATGATGAGGGCAACGAATGTATAAGTGTGCTTTACACAGTTGATGTATGTGTGGATTGTGATAAGAGTTGTATGAGCCCCTAATAAAATGATTAATAATAGATGGGGGGGCCCTACTAGACAGCCACAATAATCAAAATCTGGTACTGGTACAATGACAGCTATGAAGACAAATGGATTAGAATCAGAATCCAGAAATACAACCCAGTACCTACAGATAGCAAGTGTCTCATAAACAAGTCAAACCCCAAAATATGAATCACACAACTACTAAGGCCATCAATGAAGAGAGAGACAAACGTAAGGACCCTAATAAAAGGCATAAGCACAATACCAAGCATAATGGGTAAACAGCCGCACTAGAGAAGACTGAATAAAGAACTGGGGGGACATTCATGCTCATCAAAAGACTTCACCAAGCGTCAACAGAGAACCCACAGATTGGGAAAAAATATTCAGTAATAATACATCAGATAAAGGGCTAATCTCCAAAATCTATAGAAAGCTACATCTTAACAAGAAAATTACAAATAACCCCATCAAAAGACAGGCACAGGACATGAACAGACATTACCAAAGACAAGTCGGCGGCCAACAACCATATGAAGAAATGTTCTCAATCATTAGCAATGAAGAGAAACAGAAATTAAAACAATGAGATGGCACCTCACACCAACACTTTTGGCAAAAGTCAATAAAACAGAAAATAATGAATGCTGGCGAGGAGCTGAAAAGATAGGAACACTTTGACATTGCTGACGGGGCTGTAGAAGTCTACAATCACTCTGGAAATCAGTAGGGCACGTCCTTAAGCAAAAGTAAACACAAGTTAAGTACCTTATGATCCAGCAATCTTGATTGGGTATCTACTCTAAAAGAGATCAAGAATCCAACATAAACAGATAGATGTACATCTATGTTTACTGCAGCCATTTCCACAACAGCAAAAATATGTAAACAATCAAAAACCCCAACCACAGAGGAATGGATAAACAAGTCTGATACATTCATACTGTGGAACTTTATGTATTAGTGAAAAACAATGACAACTCTCTTAAAGAAACACCACGAGAGACTGATAAAACTAGAGAACGTTATGCTTAGCAAACTCGGTCAATCTTGCAAAGATAAATATTTACTATCACCATTATTATGAGGAAAAACAAAGAAGATACCTAGTTTACACACCAACAGGCAAAGCTTTGATGATTACAAGGAGGCCCGGGGACAAAGCGGGCAGGAACAGAGTGAGGGGAGGAATTAAACGGGAATGAAAATAAAAAGGAGGTTTAATTTTAAGAGGATATTGCTGTTGACGTCCTATCTTGAGACAGGCTGTTTAATAGGTATTTCTTTCAAAGCCCCAAAATAAATCTCTCCAGATTCCTTATTCCTGAAACCAAAATAGTGGCTTGAGAGGCTTTTAAAAAAAGTAAAGTAAAATTGAAATGGCCTTGGTGTATTTAGTGACAAAAGGGTTCATTTCAAACAAACCAACATTTGACACTGAGTGTGGGGACCTGGAACCTACGTGACTTCAGCTGAAGTCAAGGGTCACATAAACCTCAGCTTAATTCACTTATAAATGCAAGTACTTCCCAAAGAGCAAAGTCTATGGAAATCCGATCAAGTATGTTGATGCTACTATATATTAGACAGAAAAGCTCTGATGATGTAATGTAGTGTTCCTCTTCGAGCTGCCAACCAAAAGGTCTGATGTTCAAACCCAACAGTCCACCAGACTAGGGAAAAATGAGGTTATCTGCTCCCTTAATAGATTTACAGCCTTGAAACCACTCAGGTGCAGCTCAACTCTGGCCTTCCGAGTTAAGTCGGAAGCCACTCAAATGGCAGTTGTACAGGTATACTGGAAAATATATAGTTGATGACAAAGAATAATGTAACTCAAGACAGAGTTTAAAAAGAAACAGCAACAGGAGCAATCACAGCCATTATTATATTTGCGCTGTCCAAGAGAACTTTTTGAGTAATGGTTTTCAGGGTGGTTACGGTTTCAAATTTAATCACCCAATTAAAGGTTACATACCATTTTCTTTTTGTTTTATTTTATTTTTTTAGTACTTAGTATTTTCACCTTTGCTGGGTTCTTGAATTTTAAAATGAAGGAAAAGAAATTACGTGAAATTGGAAGGGCTACACCTACTGTTTTTAAATAGAGTTTTGGAAACTCTGGCCAGAACATCATTTAAAAAAATTACTGCACTTAGTTTCTTCCCTGACTCATTCTTCAAATTAATATACACTCCTAACTTTAAATCGGAAAAATATGCCTCGCATTCAAAATAGTTTTATAAGCATATTTCTTCCAAATTCAAAATTTGGCTTTCTTTTAAGGCGGCTAAAGAAAGGAATAGCAGGTGGGTTCCCCGCAATATATCTCAGTAAATATACTCATATCTGGCTTTCAATTTTAGTAACTTCCTGGAACTTTTTCCAAAATCGCTTATTCAAAACAAATAAAAATTAAAAAGTGTGTTACTCAGGGAATTTTCATTAAAACAGGGATAAAATGACTTCAGGTGGGAATACGCAGCTAAAATGGAGTCAGTATACGTCTAAACGTAGGACAAACTACCAGAAATTTCGTCAGAGGCAACAGAAACAAGAATTTCCCTTTGGGCAATAGGCAGGCGCAGCCCCCACACTAACAAATTTGCAGAAATATGGATCCAGTGCAATTGCCTGGATGTATTTTACGGCCTATTTCTTTGCTTGAAAAACAATTAATTATTGATGGCAATTTCCTCCTGTACCTCTTTAAGAAACCTTCCCTCCAGCTGTCTGTCCTTCACTGAAATAGCTTTCTGCCAGCTTCCTTTCTATTACAAAAAACAGGGTTTATTTTGTTTTTAAGAAAAAACAAAAAACAGGCAAAAGTCTTGAGGAGTGTATGTAGGGTAAGGGGGATCTTCCCAACTTGAGGCGTCTCGCCCTTGCACAGAGACCTGTAAGCTTACCCCAAAGAAAGACTGGGCCTCTATTTGGCTGAGTTCCAGCTCACTGAACCCCAACTTTCTACAGCTGAGCCTGTCTCTTTCTCTCACTTGCCAGCTGCCAGACTTGACTGACAGCCACCAAACTGGGCCGTCTCCCTGGAGTCCCCCAATCCTGGAAGGGGTTACCCCAGCAACCTGGGAATGCCAATCATGTTTCAATGCACGGTGCTGGCGCCGGAATATCATGCAACCCCCGCCAGGCTGAGCGCGCTCCCAGGGAGTTTCTAGACTGGGACTGTGGGTTCTCCCCACGCAGGGACCCCACAGGTGACAAGACTTGGCAAACCCCAGGAGGAAGCCCTAACGTTTACGGTGCCAGCTGCGGCCGCTCGCTTCCCGAAAAGCGTTCGCCTCGTCGTGAGAAGCAACAGTCCAGTCAGAGGGGCTCACCTTCGAGCTGAAGAGGTGCAAGGAGTCCCGGGGAGACGGCACCGCTGTCCGGAAAGGAAACAATGCAGGGGGGCTAGGAGAGACCCGCCAAGAGAAGAACTGGGGAACCCTGACGCCCCCACCCGTCAGGGATTCCCCCTTTCCCCGACCGGGATTCCCACCGTGAACCTCAACCAATCCGCAAGCGGGGGGATGGGCACAGCCTCCGGGGACACCGCCCACTTCTCACCACGCGAGGGACGCCGCACCGGGGGTGCGGGGAGGAGAGAAGGGGCGCTCGCACCCCAGCCAGTCGGCTAAGTGCAGCAGGGTCA